AATTTTTTTTTTTTTTTTTTTGAGTTGGAGTCTCACTCTGTCGCCCAGACTGGAGTGCAGTGGCCACTCCCGGCCACCGCAGTCTCAACCTGCTAGGCTAGGCTCCAGCGATCCTTCCACCTCAGCCTTCCAAGTAGCTGGAACTACAGGCGTGCGTTACCACGCCCGGTTAATTTTTGATTTATTGTAGAGATGAGGTCTCACCAAATTGCCCAGACGGGTCTCAAACCCGCGGGCTCAGGCAATCCACTCACCTCAGCCTCCCAAAGGTGAGGGATTACAGGCTGAGCCACCGAGCCCGGCTTGATCATAAAATATTTTAAACAATTTAGTTTCACTGTTTAATGAGGTCTATGATAAGTGCTTTTCTAAATATGAATATCCTAATTATCTTTTTATTTACAGTACTTAATACTTTGGATTTTTATATTGTGTGATGTCTTACAATGAAAATGTTTCTAGCTGTACTTTTGGGCTGTTTAGGAGTTGGATTATTTTAAGGAACACAGAAGGGCAAATACTAGATATGTGATTAAACAAAATAATGAGGTCTTGAGTTTTGTTAATTTTTATGTTCACATTATATTAATTAAAATCAGCAAATTGATTTGGTCTCTGCTGTTAGGACAAATTATGAAAAACCAGAGCTACAATTGCTTTGTTCCAAATTTTTTCCTATAGCTGTATTCCTTCCTGCTTTTGTTCCTTTTCATTTAATTGCTTTATAGTAATTACTTAAGTAATATTTATTATAAAATATCAAAACAGTACAGAGCTGAGGTGTTCTAAACAAAATGTGAAAAACTATTCTCCAAAGTTTTGTGGCCGCCTTTCCCCTTCTATTTTTGCATACAAATATATATATTCTCTTACCTGAATAATCATGTACATATTTAAAAACATAGGTAAATGGCATCATAGTTACATAATATTTTGCAAATTTTTGTTTAACTTATCTTGGAGAACTTTTTATGTCGATACATGTTTAGCTTTAGTCTTTTAACTATTGCATACTATTCCATAGTCTAGTTTAATTTGACCAATTCTTACAACTCTTTCTTTGTATGTATATTTTCTAAGCTGAAAATGGGTCTGGTAGCTTTTCTGCCTTGATAGCCCTATTATTCACGTTTAGAGTCTCAACTCTGAAATCCGGGATTTGCCTGTGATTCTTGGCTTTCTATGACTCTGTCACCAACCATCCTCAAATTCCACCCTCTTCTCTTCTTTCCGGCTCTGTTCTGGCTTGAGCTGGGCACAGTGGCTCAAGCCTGTAATCCCAGCACTTTGGGAGGCCAATGCGAGAGGATTGCCTGAGCTCAGGGGTTCGAGACCAGCCTGGGCAACTTGATGAGACCTCATCTCTACAATATATCAAAAAATTTGCCAGGCATGGTAGCATGCGCTTGTAGTTGCAGCTACTTGGAAGGCTTGAGGCAGAAGGATCACCTGAGCCCAGCGGGTCGACCCTGGGGTGGCCCTGAGCATGCCACTGCCCTCCAGCCTGGGCAACAGAGTGAGACTGACTCAGGGGGAAAAAATAAAAAAGAAATCTTAAAATACTGTGACTCAAATTTGTTCATAAGCACCAATCGGCCTCAATATTTTTATGCCAGTTATCTAGGGAATCTTATGCCATGTTGATTCTAGCCTGCGGGGAAATCCATTGATTCATATTGTAAATACAAATGCTAATTAAGGGGTATACAAATGCTAATTAAGGGGTACACAAAAGTAATTAAATCAAGGTTCACAGCTGTGTGCTAAAGTGACAGTTCTAAAATCTTGTTGTTTTGGTGAGGAAATTCCTGTGAAACACTTGCAAATGATTTTGGTATGTCTCATGTAGATTTTAAAAATATGTATTATAAAAAAATGATTATAATGCTAAGATGTTTAAGAAATATTTTCTGGCAGAAGAAAACTGCTGGTAAATGGAAGCTTTCTTCATTAAGGAAACTCAGTGTGTTCTCTAGTGAGCACAAGAGGAAGGAATGGTAATTGGCAGAAGGAGAGAATGAGGCTCTTACAAGATTCACTGACAGGGAGAATTATGAGGGACAAAAATTTGTAACCCAGCTAATCATTATGACCTCATTAGAATATAAGAAACCCTCAAAGCTAACAAGTTTTTCTTTTGAATTCAGATGAATCCGTAAGAAAAAAAAATAGCGATACTTTAGAAGTTGATAGGGCAAAAAACAGTATTTGAATCTGAGTAAAACAAAGTTTGCATTTTTCTTTGCTAATTTACAAAAATTAATTTAAATATAGTTTTGAAGACAACTTAGTATCCCTCACTCACTGAAGCAGAGAGAATTGAGAGCTATGATTTTGGGGTTGATAAAGCAGTATGAGAAGATTTTCTCTCCAGGCTTGTGTTTAGACCAGGCCAAGGGTAGTTCTTCTGTACCTGGAAGCTTTGTAGATAAGAAATTTCATAGTTGACATTTCTTGAAGTTATTGAAATAGTTTTAGTTGAATGGTATTTGTACATAGTTAATTCTGCTTAAATTTGTTCCTAATTTTAAGTTATGTGAATGTGTGCATATATGAAAGGGGACCTAAAAAAATGAATTACTTTTTGGAGGGTGAGCCCCTTGTGGTATAGGATTCCCCCACTAGGTGGGTGTTCTAGGAAACCATCAGCATCAGTGTACCAGCTAACCTTGTTGTGAGAGGCTGCATTCTGCTTCAGTGAACTTTTTTTGGAGATTGTTTTAGTGCATTTGCCCATTTCATGATGGGTGATTTACGAGTACACCTGCCCACACTGTGTTCAGCAGTTTTTGACCCAAAACGGCCCTTGTGTCTCACCCTTCCTATTTATCTGATCTCACTTTTTTTGTTTTTTTGTTTTTGTTTTTGTTTCCTCTGATAAAAAAGCCCTCAAAGGCAAAACATTTTGTTGATGTGGAAGAGGTGAAACAACAAAGGGCCGAAGCATTAAAAGGCTTCAAACTGTTTTGAGCAGTGGAAAAAGTGTCTCAATAGGTGTATTGTGTCAAACGGAGAGTACTTTGAAGATGATTAAAGTTTAAAGATGTAAGAATAAATATACAATTTATAAACAAATTCTGTTTGGGGGAATTTCCCCTTGTGTGTGTACACATGTGTACAGTTTTTAAATTGAGAGGACAGTAATAGAGTATACCATAGACTTAGGTTAAGAGCATGCTATAACCCAATAAATATGTAATCGGTGTGTGGACAATAGCACAGCCATTTTTAGTTTTCTGTCTTAAAACATAACCTGTAACTGTTTAAAGTTTCAGTTATAGGAAGAACTGCAAAGCTCCGGTTACAAGCTTCAACCCCTTCCCTTATCTCACTTTCCCCTTAGCAACATCCAATCAGGTGCCAGGGGGTAATCACCTAAGCTTCCAGATGTCTCTGCAACTTCCCTAGCTAGTGGACCAAGGTCAGCCCGAGTCAGGCTAGCCAATCCTCCACGATTAAGCTGACCACCAGAGGTTACTACCCAATTAAATGGTAACACAACTGGAAAGCCCCTCCCCCCAAACACTTCCTCCCTTTGTGTAAAAGCATAAAAGGCATCTGCTTAAGGAAATCAGGGCCTCTGAATGTACACCGCTGTGTCGGTTGTCGACAGAGGTCCAGGCTCGAGCTTGCAAATAAAGATCCTCTTGAACTTTCATCGGAATTGCCTCTTGGTGGTCTCTCGGATTGAACTTTCGGCCACTACAAAATTAGTGGGGGAAATCTCAAACATATACAGATGTAGAGAGAACATAATGAACCACCATGTACTTGACACTTGATTTCTGCAGTTAACAACTGTGCCAGTCTTGTTTCGTCTGTATCCCACCTATTTCTTTACTTCCCCCACACCCCAGGTCATTTTAAAACAAGCCACAAACATAATTTTGTTTACAAATATTTCAATTGCTATCCCTAAAAGAGACTTTTAAAATCATGACCATAATACCATTATTACGCCTCCAAAATTAGCAGAATTTTTAATGCCATGTGAGAGCAAATGCCACCCACCCCCAGCAAAGAACAACCTGAGCTACCAAAAAATCTTAAGAGACCAAGGTGGAGAAACCCTGAGGCTTAGAATTAGAAGAGAGTTTGCAAAGCTTGGGGTGTGTGCAGGATTTTCATTGTGTTAATATATGAAATGGGTTTCTGTGGTACATGGGGGAAACATTTTCAACACAGGTGAAGGTTTGGAATTAAATTTAAAGCTGCTTTGGTAATGTTGACAATCAGTAGAAGAATTTAGATACCACAAACAAGACAGTAGCAACATTATCCAGAGGGAACTGGGTTGATCACTCACTGACAACACGTATCTAGTCTTTAACTTCAGGGACTGAAATACATTGGTGCTTTTTGCCTGATTAAACAGTTAATTTTTAGAGGAAGAGTCTGTTTCAAAACTGGCACTTGTGCGGACAAGAATAGTTGGACTATTAGGCTGAACATGCTGACTGGATAAGAACAAAGTTAAAACATGAAGAATAGTTTTCCTGACAAATGGTTGTTAAATATTGAAAGCTTAAAGGTTTCTCTCTAGTGTCTTAAGTTAAATTTTAACTGAAGACATAGGAATGAACTTAATTAATCTTGAGATCCACATTTAGGCCCATGGCCCGTGGCTCCCTTTGAAAATCTGAGGACTGTGGTAGCCCCAGGACATGTGCCCTTCTGCACACACAGTGCTGCCTGTGTTTGGGAGTTCATGCCGGTCTCTGAAGTTTGTCCATGGATGCCTCACTCCTCACCGATTTCCAGGGTAAAACCTTTGCTAAAGGTCTACTGAAACTCTTCAAGAACTCAAAATAAGATGTTTTAAATTAGCACTGAATAGTAAAAACACAGCTCTATTGTCTGTATCTTCCTAATCAAATGCAGATTTAGTGATGGAGAACAATAGGTGACTTGGAATTAGAATTTTTTATGGTTTCCAACATGAAATAAGATATTATTTAAACTTTGTCTGTAACCTTCATTTTTCTTTCTCTTTTTACTAGGTGTATGCAACAGTGTTGTGGCAACAAGCTAACGAAAACAGACAAAATTCAACAGAAAAAGCATGTTTTGGCACCTCCCTCCCAGAGGAAAAACTTAATGACTTTCATGATGAACAGATTGGACAATTGCAGGAGCTGATGCTGGAAGCCACTAAACCCAGTAGACAGTTTAGTATTCCTGAGTCTACAGAACCAAAAATTTAGTCTATACAATAAAGCTTAACAAAGCATGTAAAATTCAGAACTTCTTATTTTAAGTATCATTTGTTTAAAAAATTTATTTCAGCTTTGAGAATGCCTGGTGTTAATGAAACAGTTTTTATTTTTAGATATTATGAATATAATTTATGGATAGGGTTCACTAGTGATAACTGAAAAACTTTATAACATTGCTGGAATAACAGCACTTGCTGGATGGAACTCAGTTTTTTAGCTAAACAGAAAGAGTAGCTCTACAATGAACAGACTTCTGAAATTCTGCTGAAAACGTTTTCTTATATAAGTTTGTTTAAAATGCTGTTCTTGTTCAAGTATTAATGGCTTTTCTTTAGCTTTATCAGAGATGTATATCATGATAGGTATAGAATTCCAACAAGGTTATTGTTTAAATATATTGTTATTCTGAATGTTTCATCATTTATACTTTAATAATACATACATGGATTTTCTTCTGAATGGCTTCTCTTCCTGAGTCATTGTTAAGGACTTTTAAAGAGAAGCTTTAAGATACACTATTATATTATCATTTGTGTAATAGATTATGCAAAGTATAATACGTTGCTACAGTGTAGTTTTTGTTAGCAAATGATTTAAATAATTCATGATTACCTTGAGAATTTATTGCCTAATGGTTGGGGAGTTTATGTTCATAAATTTATCTTACACTTAAGTTGATTTATAAATTTTTAAAAATCAAATGGTTATCCCATTCACATCATAGAATGTTAATTAAAAATATTACAAGCTAAAATGATTGTATCTTTAGTAATTGCTATGATCCAAATGTTTATGTCGCCTCAAAATTTATATGTTAAAACCTAATCTTCAGTATGATAGCATTAGCAGGTAAACCCTTTGGGAGGTGATAGGCCCTCATGAATGGAATTAGTGCCCTAAAAAAGGAGGCCTCATTTCATTCCCAGGACATAAGGCTAGTTTCAACATAAGAAATCAATAAATGTAATCCACCACATAAACAGATGTAAAATAAAGAACCACGTGATTATCTCAATAGATGCAGAAAAAGCATTTGGTAAAATCTAACACCACTTCTCCATAGCTCTCTAGGCATCTAGGCATTGAAGGAACATGTCTCAAAATAATAAGAGCCATCAGCCGGGCTTGGTGGCTCAGCCTGTAATCCTGAGCTTTGGGAGGCTGAGGTGAGTGGATTGCCTGAGCCCGTGGGTTCGAGTTCCGTCTTCTTGGAAGGCTGAGGCGGAAGGATCGCTGGAGCCCAGCAGGTCGAGGCTGCAGTGGCCGGAAGCGGCCACTGCACTCCAGTCTGGGTGACAGAGTGAGACTCCAACTCAAAAAAAAAAAAAAAAAAAAAAAAAGAATAAGAGCCATCTATGATAGACCCATAGCTAATATACTTAATGGGCAGAACCTGAAAGCATTCCTCCTGAGAACCGGAACAAGACAAGGATATCAACTCTCATCAATCCTGTCTGACATGGTATTGAAATTCCTAGCCACAGCAATCAGGCAAGAGAAAGAAACTAGATATATCTAAAAAGGAAAAGAGGAAGTTAAATTATCTCTCTTCATGGATGACATGATTCTATACCTAGAAAACTCTAAAGAGTCCACCCAAAGACTCCTAGTACTGATAAACAACTTTGGAAAAGCCTCGGGATGTAAAATCAGTGTGCAAAAATCAGTTGCATTTCTATACACCAAAACAAGCAGGCTGAGAACCAAATAAAAAACACAATCCCATTCACAATAGACACACACACAACAAAATACCTTGGAATACATCTACCCAAAGAGGTGAGGTCTTTATAAGGAACTATAAAACACTGCTTAAAGAAACCACAAATGTTATTTTTTAAAAATGTAAAAACATTCCATGCTTATGTATTGGAAGAATCAATGTTGTCAAGATATTTATACTACCCAAAGCAATTTACAGAGTCAACACAATTTCTATCAAACTACCAGCAGCATTTTTCACAGACCAAGAAAAGATGATACCTAAATTCATGTGGAAGCAAAAAAGAGCCCAGATGGCCAAAAAAGCAATTCTCAGCCAAAAAAGCAAAACCAGTGACATCATACTCCCAGACTTCAAACAACAAAACTACACTAACCAAAAGAGCATGGTTCTGGTACAAAAATAGACATATAGCCAAAGAAATGGGATAGTTAGCCTAGAAATAAAACCACTGACTTAAAACCAACTCATCTTTGACAAAACTGACAAAAACCAAACATTGGAGAAAGGATACCCTGTTCAACAACAAATGGTGTGGGAAAACTGACCAACCACATGCAGAAGAAAGAAAGTGGATGCCTACTTGTCACCATATACAAAAACTAACTAAAACTGGATCAAGGACTTAAATATAAAACCTCAAACTATAAAATCTTAGAAGAAAATCTAAGGCACACTCTTCTGAATATTGGCCTAGACAATGAATTAATGACTGAGTCCCCAAAAGCAAATGCAGTGAAAACAAAAATTGACAGTGCTGTGCAGAAACTTTTTAGAAGCACAGCAGGAGAAACCAAGAGAGTAAAGAGACAACCCACAGAATGGGAGAAAATACTTGGAAACTACTTTTTCTTTTTTTTTTTTGCATTGAAGTCTCACTCTGTCACTCAGACTGGAGTGCAGTGGCCGCTCCTGGCCACCACAGCCTCGACCTGCTGGGCTCTAGCGATCCTTCCGCCTCAGCCTTCCAAGTAGCTGGAATTACAGGCATGTGCTACAACGCCCAGCTAGGAAACTACTTTTTCATCTGACAAAAGATCAATATCCGGAATCTATAAGGAACTCGAATGAACAGGAAAAATAAATAACCCCATTAAAAACTGGGCAAAGGTCATGAACAGACACTTCTCAAAGGAAGACATAAAAATGGCCAACAAGTGTGAAAAAAATACTCAGTATTACTAATCATCAGAGAAATGCAGATCAAAACTACATTGAGATACCATCTCACACCAGTCAGGATGACTGTTACTAAAATGATAAAAAACCAATAGATATTGGCAAGGCTACAGTGAAGACAAAACACTCATACACTGTTGGTGGTAATATAAACCAGCTTACTCCTGTGGAAAGCAGTTTGGAGAGTTCTCAAAGAACTAAAAATAGATCTATCATTAGACCTCACAATCCCACTTCTGCGAATATACCCAAAGGAGCATAAATTGTGCCAAAAAGACACCAGCCTCGTATGTTTATCACAGCACTATTTGCAACAGCACATGAAAACATGGAAGCAATCCAGGTGCATCAACAGTGGACTGTATAAAGAAAATGTGATACATATACTCTAGAATACAGGTGTGAAAGAACAAAATTATGGCATTTGCAGCAACATGGATGCTGCTAGAGGCCATCATTCTAAGCAAATTATCACAGAAACAGAAACCTGAATGCCACATGTTCTCATAAGTAGGTTACTAAATATTGGGCAGATAGACACAAGAATGAGAACAACAGACACTGGTGCTGCTATGGGGGGAAGGAGAGGGGGAACATGGGATGCAAAACCACCCACTGGGAACCACACTCACCACTGGCAAGGGTCTTACAGTTTTGTCAGAAGCCCAAACCTCACCTTCACACAATATACCTATGTAGCAAATCTTCAAATGTACCCCGACTCTAAAATAAGGAAAGGGCCCCCAGAGAGATCTGTTGTAACCCCTTTCTCCCTGAGAGGAGACAATGAAGAGATGGTCATCTGTGAAGCAGAAAGGGGGGCCCTCACCAAGCACTGATTCTGCCATGGTCTTGATCTTGGACTTCCCAGTCTCAAAACTGAGAAAAAAACTTCTGTGGATAAGCCACTCAAGTTTATGGTAGTTTGTCCTTCCAGTCCAGATCAAGACAGGGATGGATGTCTACTCCAAGACACTGAAATGATCGTTTTTCAGATGCAATCATGTTAGCTCTTTAAAAACCGCTGATATTTTCTCTAGTTGTTGTTGCTGGGCTCACCTTAGGCCTCTCTTCCCTTTCGTTGGAGTCAGTCCATTGGTTAATCAGTTGGTATTTTTCTCATTGAAAGGTAGGTGATTTGTCAGTCAGTCAATAATTTATCTACGTTATAACAGGCTCCAGGGGTACAACAATGGATAAGACAACGCTCTTACCCTCAAGGAGTTTAAAATGTAGTTGTGTGTTTGGAAACTCTGAAGGTTGCGTTATGAACAAATGCATTATATTCTCACAGCATTGTCTTTTTCATCTTACCAAATACAAACCTAGTCCCTATGAGTGCACACCTGTGCTCTCATCTTGTGAAGCAGGAGTTGTAAGTTGTTCGACAACTCACCATAACGTGGAGCCCTATTCATGGCTCCTTTCAGCCCATCATATGCCACCCTCCCTTAAGAACTCTCTTTGCTTTGTGGCTTTTTTCTTTTGGGGTATGCTTCTCTCTTTCTCTTGGTCTTTGGCACTTGATTCACACCTCTCCACCTCAAGTCTTGCCATTATTTTGGTGACTTCAGTATCTATGTGGTTTACTTATCCAGTGTAGCCTAAGGAGTCTTTGATATTATATTTTCACATATTCACCCACCCATGCCATGTCTATACTTAAACTTTCACTCTGATATTCAGAACCGTTCCACATTTGAAATTACGAATTTTAACATCCCATGCTTTTGTCAGTTATCGCTTAACAATACGATCAGTTTCTTACTCCCACTGTGCAAATTATTTATGGCTATTTATTCAACAAGTATCTATTAAAAACCTACATTTGCAAGATGTCATCCTTGGTACTGGGGATAACAGGAGTTATCAAAGGCAGAAAGTCTACCCCCATGGAACTCACTTTCTAAAGGAGGAAAACAAAATACATAAATAAGATTTGCAGGGTGATGAGTACTATTTAGAAAAATAAAACGAGGAAAAGGGATAGGATTATAGTCCCCAAATTGTGAACTGAGATGCCCTGGGCACCACAGAAAACTTGGGTGAAATCACAGCCACATTTATTCAATACTACCCAAATTGCTAGCTCATGAATATTTCATAGCTTTATAATTAAGTCACTACATTCTTTTTAGTGACATATCTTTGTGAAATGAATATATAACTTCCAAGCTATTAGAGGGAAAAAACTGTACAGTAAGGCAAAGAGAAGAAGAAACATAGGAGCAGCAGAATAAAATTTTTTAAATGAGATAATAGATAAAACTCAGATATGTCAGTAATTACATTAAGTGTAAATGGACTAAGTTACCCAGTGAAAGACAGATTATTAAACTGGTTGGAAAATGTAACCAATTATATACTGATAGAAAATACACTTGAAACATAAAATACAATTTGGAAGTAAAATAATGCATAGATGTATAGTTATATAGGCCAAAAGAAAGATGATGTAGACAGATTAATATCTAGAAAAAAGTTTCTAAGGCAGAAACGATGTTAGGGGGAAAAAAATCATACAATGACTTCATATAATGAAAAGTTTAGTTCACTAAGATAATTCTAAATTAGCACTTACCAAGTAAGTAAATGATTAAGTTTTCCATATTTGAGGAAGTTAACACAATTCCAAATAACCCATGAGTCAAAGAAATCCTCATGGAACAAAGAATTTAGTGTAGAACTGGCCAATGATGGAAATACTTAATAAAATTCATGAATTGCAACTAAAACAACACTTGGAGGAAACTGATAGACTTAAATGTATCTAGCAGAAAGATTGAATATTAATGAGAAACCATTTAAAGTTAGAAAAACAACACAAGCTCAAATAGAATGAAGATTAGAGC